ACAATCTTATGGCTGATCGGTGTACATATACATTCCAAATAACAAATAGCTTTACCTTAAAGTTTTAAGCAAAAAAGTGCCTTACATATGGCTTTCTCTATTGTACTTAAAGATAATACTTTTTACTAGGGCTGAAACCAGTAATAATTGTCATTATTGATTAATTTACTTGAATAATTGTTTTGTCTATAAAATATCAGAAAATAGTGAAAAGTTACCATTATAACTTCCAACAGCTGAAGGTGGTGACTTCAAATTCCTTGATTTATCCAACCATCTCTAAAGTTTGAAAAATATTTCCCCCAATATGATTTATTACCAAAAACATTCTGTATATCAACACAGCTTTTACTTTTGAATCTGTGACAGGAAGTTGTTTCCCATTGTGGGTGACTTGATGGTGTTGCAGAGCATGAGGTCAGGGAGGTTGAGTGAGTGTTTAGTGTTAGAGGGGTTTGTGCAGGGAAGAGTTACTATGGCAGGAGTTCTGCACTTCCTTCTGCTTTTATTTCTGCATTGTGGCTCATTTATCCTTATTTCAGCCGGACCTGAGGATGGCACGACCACTGTGGATTCAGATGCAGCTTTTACTACAACTGAGAGCCTTTTTTCTGCAGGGAGAACCAACTTCAGTGAGGTTCCCACCACAGGATTCACAACCAGTAATAGTAAGTTAACAACTAAACCTCCCACAACCACCACAACTACTGAACGTCTGACTGGAGACACTGGTAAAACAGCAGAGAGAGCAGTGTCCGGAAAAGATGCTGAAGAAGAAGAAGGTCCTTTGGAATTAGGTGAGTGGATATTATTTTATATGTTGGAATTTTAATTCTGTTTGTTGATAATATTATGGAACTTTGCAGTGTATGTGTGGTATTCATTAATGAGGACACAGTGATCAAATGAGTCTCTAAAACTTACAGTATTTTAAGGCCTTTATAGTTTTTAATGTGGTAATCATGCACTTTTTTACAACCTAATTGCTCGCTGCTTGTTTTACACATGTCTCATTATTTTCCCTAGAAACAGAGAGTCGTGCTGGTAAAGTTAACATTTAATGTGTTACTATGCACACAAACACAACCTTCCATGAGAACATACTATTTTTAGGAGTAAATGTGTTGTTGAGTTTTTATCCTTAAAAAAATAAATTCAATAACTCTGCAAACTCAGGGCTGGTAGGGTTCTGGGAATAAGAAAGATCCCCAGTGTGTCAGAGGTTCCACAGGTCCAAGACTCTTTGACTAAGAAGTTTCATAATGCCTCTGGATTTAAATAACAAGTCAAAGAATCTTCTAGGGTCCCTCAAATCTTTGGGGGGGATTTTTAAGTGTGTAAAGAGAGCTCTGTTGGTCTTATGTGCGGTTAGAGAGTCAGTGTCCGAGGGTTGGGGGAGGATGTTCTACATTCTAGCCTGTGTGCAGTGAGACATTTTAGCTGTGTGTTTTCTACTGATGAAAACCAGATGGGCTGTGTGATGCCTCAGACCAAAAAAATGAAGAATAAGACCCCTCACACTCCAAAACTCCTCAAATTCACTGAAGCTGTGGCTGCAACCAAATGGCTCTAATGTAAATATATGTAAATGACTGTGCTGCTTGCTGTGGCTCTCCATGCTTCCCTCTGTTGGTGGTAAATTAAGCTGTAACTCTTTTAGAAGATGATACCCCTCTCGACTAAGCTCTGCTAAGTTCTGTTAGCTTACCTTAGCATAAAGACAGGAAATGGGAAAGCTAACCTGGCTCTGTCCAAATGTCAAATGCAAATCTGAGGCTCACTAAATAACATGTTGTTATGCTCAAAAATGCCGAAATGGACGCGTAAAAATAAAACAAATGTTGCCAAAAGTTTTACGGGGGGGATCGTGTGCCGTACTGTTTTTTGGCCGGGTGCAGTGACTTCCTTCCTTAGTTAGCATTAGCTCTAGTAGCATTAGAAGCAGGGGCTCTGTTCATACCTATGAACTTATGCCGGCTGAACCGCTATCTTCCAGTTCAGCTCTCCACTAACTTCAATGGAGATAAAATGGTTTTATTATGCAGCTTTTCTAGACTATACAGATTTTATTGATGTATGAAATTTTGGTAGTAACCCAGGGGTTCTGAAGTCTTGTTCTACGAGGTAGCCTGTTTCCTACTGTGCATTAAATGGCTTGCATTTTTGTAGAACGGAGGTCCACCAGGAGCATTAAAGTAGCAAAGAAGCCCAAAACAATCCAGAAGAAACCAAAACTCATCACCAAGAAGCCAAAGGTTGTTACGAAAGCCAAACCTCAGGTGAAAAAAAGTGTGAGCCCGTCGGTGGCCACGGAGACAGTCCCACGTATGTATGGGGATTGACCCTGATGTATACAGTATGTCAGTCAGACAAGGGTCAGATGTTAGTGGCAGATAGTTTTAAGTGCTTTCCCTAGCCGTGGGGACAATTACCGTGGTTTCAGGTGATTTTTTGACCCATTGAGACTTTCACCGACTTCTAAAAGTGCAATGGGGAAGTTGAAGCTCACTGGGACACACTGAATTGTCAGCTGAGGCAAACCCACCCAGGAAAGCATCAAACAAACCATAAAACTATTTGCTGATTTAACACAAATTCAGACCCAGATCTGACTCATGTGGGTCCACTGCTAAGTTAGTGCATACTGTATACTAAACTTGTATTTTATAAAGAAATGAATTCTATCTGCTGCTTCAAATCACAATCTGCACAAGTATTTTAAAGTGAAAATTGACTACAAACAAATATCTGAAAAACTGTCTGAAGACTGGGAGCTGCTTCACCTCTCTCTGCACCAACGCAGTGAAAATATTGGTGTCTATACTCACTTAATCTGTAGCCTGCCTTACATTGTGTAATAGGTATATCTTTCAGAGAAATCTTAATATTTCTGCTATTTTGTGAAAATGTACTTTTTTTTGTTGGTTGACAGTCAAATTGGTTTCTTCCTGGAACATCGTTAAATTGACTGCATCCCTTGCAGTATGCTGAATGTGTGACCTCATTACACAGTCCTCATTACTGTGTTCCCAAAGTTAAGAACGTCCATGCTCAACACTGGATGTATGTGTTAAAATCCAGCTCTAAAATCCAGATTCCATTGATTCTTTTAGACCTTTCATGTCTTGTTGCTAAAGCACAAAGTAGCCTAATGTGTTCATTATATGCCAAAATTAGTTTTTTTTTTTACTGTTTTACTGCTGTAAACTAATCCCACACAGATAGAACAGCTGCCAGTCTTCTTGATACGCTATCGAAAGGTGATCTCTATCTTTAACCACTGGCCTCTGCAGACATCGTAAATGTCTCCTGCCCTCTTCCTTTCTTTGATTACCTTTTTGTCCACCCATATCTTTTCTCTTGCTGCACTTAAGCTAGTCTCTCTCTTTCTAAAACCTTCTCTTTCTCACACACACACATACACACAAACTTTATTGACTATGCTTACAAGCATTATAACCGTGACCCTGAAACCAAATCCTGGCCCTGGAATCGATTATTAACAGTGTGGGGATACATTATTGAGCCCACAATTACTGTAAAAGAATCACACTGGTGTAGTTTGTAGCCTATTAGTATAGTTTGAGTTTTCTATGAGTCTGTACAGTCTGTTTGGTTTCCACATCTCTGGTTCTGCCTCCAGAGATCTGAAATTGGTCTACCAGCTGCTTTATGCCTTTTAAATGTGTCAGTATGTTCACACATCTCTCCCGCTTCACAAATTTGTGTATACAAGTGTATGCACACATATTTGTGTGCGTTTGCTGGACCGGGAATTGAGTCGTCTGAGGAAGTGTGTGTGTATACAGAGCGTCTGTATATAGAATGTGTGTATGTACAGTGGAGAGATTAGCTCGGGGAGGTTGGCTAGAAATGAATGCTTAGTAAGCAACTTGTCATGTCATGTCAAATCTGAGCTGGTGCTCATTAAAATCCACTCAGGCATGTCAGGCACTGCTGGATTTAGATTAACTGTGAGTGATAGGCCGGAGTAGTTAGTATAAGTGTGAGTGTAGAAACCTCTTCCTGCTTCATTAAGTGAAGAAAATCTTCATTTCTGTGAAAAATACTCCATCGGTTGGACATGTATTAAAATGTTGAATTGTTTGCTAAAAGGATCATTTTGTGTCTGTGTGAGAAAAAAAGACAGCTAAATTGGACTATTCGATGTGATGAATTGTCACAGCACAACCATCCTGTGAGCATGAAAGGAAGAAAAAGCTTTTAATGTCACAGTAGTACTAGAGTTGCAGCTCACCGCTGCAAGCCACTTGGACGGCAATGAGCTTGTTGGCCGTTTAAGATGCTTCAGGTTACAGCTTGATTACAATAGCTGAAACAAGTTGCATGTTTGTAAGAGATGCTACTGTTCTCTGTAGGATTTACTTCCTGATCAAAGGAGATTGTTTTAAGTCCCATTTATTTTATTGTTAGGATATCTGAAGAATCCAATTTCAGTATATATAGTGGGAAGTTTAGCATGAAACAAGTGACTTGTTTTCGCAGGCAGTGGCTGCATGTGGCCATATCAAAAAAGTCCCTACAGGTGCCAACAGGTGGTTGTTACAGCAACATGATGGATATTAATTAGTTATCAGGTTTGACTCACTTGCATTTTGCACAATTTATACTTTTACTCTAGATTGGGTGTAGGAGCGGTCGGTAAAATCAACGCGCATTCT